ACCCCAGAAAACTGCCTGGACCTGGGGTCTGGGTATCCAGAGAGCCCGAGGGTCAGCACTGTCAAGGCTTGGAGGCCCGAGGCCCCCCGAGTGTCTGGGGAACTGGGCGGAGCAGTCTGGTTGCTTCCTGAGGCCCCCAGGTCAGCATCTCCTCTGCATGGGTAGTGTGTGTATGTGGGCAGGGCCAGTGCTCCCTGGAGGAGGCCTTGAGGACTAAGGTCAGGTCCAAGGGCCACAAGGGCATCACCAAGTTGGGGCAGAGGCTGCCTGAGGAGTGGGAGGGACTCCAAGCCGGTGACCCCTTCTGTACCACCCCCACCCGTGTGCTACTGCCCTCCTGGGACCTCCCCATAGGACCCTCTCTGAACCTCAGGGCTCCTCAGTTCCCCCCAACTTGTGCCAGTCTTGGGGATCCCGCCCTGGATGTGTGTGAATGTGTGTGTGTACTCACAGGCCCAGTGCAAATGTGGGGTCCCCCAGCCCCTGTGGAGGTCTCCCCACCTCGAAGCATCCAGTTGGCTCCTCCAAGCTGTTCCTGCTGGCAGGGACTGCCTGGCCCCACCCTGGAGGAGCTCTCTGTTTACACCCAGCGTCCCCTGGGACACAGAGTGGCTCCCTGGAGAACCGGCGCCTGTCAGGGAAATAACAAATGAGCCTCGGCGCTCAGTGCTGGGCGGGCAGACCCTGTTAGTGAGGACGAGGCCTGGGAGGTAGGGTGAGCCTGGGGTGCTCCCGGGGGAGTGGGCAGATTCGAGCATCTGAGGGTGTGTTTGGTGACACAGGACTGGGCACCAGGAGGAGGCTAACCCCGGCTCCTCCCTCTGGGACAGAAGTGTCCTCCCCCCCTGTGTGAGTCCTGGGAGGGCTCAGTGAGAGCCCCTCCCCGCCTAGCAGACCCGGTCACCTGACCCTGTCACATTCCTCATACGGCACAAGCACACGTGCACAAGCGTGGCCAGGAAACAGGAGCTGCTGCGGACCCCAGGGCTGAGGGGGCAGCGGGCAGAGAGCAGCGCCTCTCACAGTTGGGAAGCCTGGCCTGCGAGGCTCCTGAAGATTTCCTCGGGACCCCCAGAGTGACCTTAGTGCTTTCTGCCTCCAGCTGGGACAATGGAGGTTCGCACAAAGTGTTGGCCGGGGGAGCCCCGGCCCCCAAAGCTGGAGCAGGACCCATCTTCTGCTGAGGTCACCTGGCTCCTCCCTGCAGCCCTGGGGAAGAGCGCTTATGTCCCCAAAGTGCTCACTGTTCATTGTGTCCCCCTGCCCAGCTTCACATAGGCCTGCTGCCCCCAACACTGCTGGCAGCCTCACCCTAGCACCCCTCTTCCTGGCACTGCCCTCTCTCCTCTCCCAGACGTGCCCACCTGAGATCCCAGCAGAGCTGGAAAAGCCGAATGGTGGTTAATGTGAGTCACTGTGAGGCCCGACGCCTCCTTCCGGGCCCAGTTTCCCACCCATACAGTGTCGCAACGCTGCATGAGCAGGTGTCCAGGGCTCCTGCAGTGCACATGGGGACTCCTTGGAGTCTGTGTTGAAAAAAATCCCCTGTGTGCCATCCTGAGGGGTGATCCCACCTGGGGTGCCATGATGGGGAGCAGAGCGGAGGAAACCCAAAGACCTGGCTTGACAAGTGGCCACTTGCCCCACATGTGGAAAGGCGGGCATATTAGCCAGGGCTCTTCATCTATTAGGATGGAAACCACAGTATACTTCTGAGAGCCTGCCTACAGTGGTACCTCCTTCAGGCATGGCTGGATCCAGAAGCCTACTGGCTGGCATGATGCTCTCTCTCTCTATATATATATGCATATGTCCCTAGGATGCTCGAAGCTATGTCTCCCCAGCCTGGGCTCAACCCTGCTCTCAGGCTTCAATTCACAGCCATGGGGTAGATGAAGGGCCTGGTCCCTACATCCTCAACCCAGCTCATTACTCTAGGAATCAGTTATGTATCAGTCTGAGGCCAAAGGTGTGGTCAGCCTGCAGGTGGCAAGCCCTCCTGGTCGTTGTTAGAGAACAGGGTGGGTGCTGTGGAGCATAGGTGCTCACTCCCTGTATCTCCTGAAGCTGTCATATCCCTCACCGCCCCAGAGCCATGAGACACAGAGAGCCCTGGGCTGTGGCCAAGACCTCCAGGAACAAATGGGAGGGCCCAGTCCATGCGGACTCCAGGCTCTGTCCCGACTCCCGGCAGGCTGCCCAGTCCGACCTGCACCCCAGGCCTGTGAGTGCCAGGGGCTTTTACTGAGCACCTCCTCTGTGTAGCTTGGCTAGAAGCTCAGGAGGCCACGTGACTCCTGAGGGGAGCAGGAAGGCAGAGGCGCCGAGCTGGCTCTGTCTGCAGCTGGGCTCTGGGGAGGACGGCCCGAGGTCTCTGGGGTAGCCGCCTCTTCCTGCCTCCCTCACCAGGGCAGTGCTGGCACAGCGTGGGCAGGAGCCCCTTAGAGGCCCTCACATCCCCCCTCCCCGCCCCCACAGAATAAGCCCTACCTGGTCCGTCATGTGCCTGAGGGCACGGTCACCTGGCTGGCTGCAGCAGCTGTGGGTCCATGTCCTCCCCCAGACCCTCCTTTGAGGGACGGACGCACTTTTCAGTGCCTACTGTGAGACCAAAAGCATGGGTCCCTTGGCCTGAGAGCCTTAAGAATTTGCAGAAGACGGGGACTGAGCTTGGGTCCCACTCATGACACAGCTTGTGTACCTGCTTGTTTCGAGGCCCCAGGTTCTGAGCCTTGCTGCTGGAGGGTCACCTCTCCACCCTGAGCTTTGGGGCAGGCAGGTGGGACTGCTGGGGCCCACGATGAGCACCATCGGCTCAGCCCTGTCCTCCTCCACACCCGAGTTCCTCTCCCAGGAAGAGGCAGGGAGCGTTCCGGGCTCCAGAAGGACCCCAAATGCCTTGTTGTGTCTTACCCCAGCTCTGCCCCATGGCCCATACATGCAGGCCCATGGATGGATGTCCACTGGCCCAGACTATTCCGGGGAAGAGCCCAGAGCCATCTCCGCTCCCGTCTTGGCTCCCCAGGCGTGTTTAGACACCATCCCTCCCACCCCAGTGTGACGGCTTCCCTGGCACTGAGGCCCAGCCAGTGGCTCTGGCCAACGCACTTGGCTCCAGGGAGCTAAATCCAATCCAGCCAGCTGTCTCTGCTCCGGCTGCCGCCAGCCCGCCAGGCCCCCGCACACACGGATGTGCACACACCCTTCCCGCCCCACGTGGGTCTCTGGGAAGTGTGGAGAGGGGGGAACCAGAACCTGCCCAATGGTCCCGCAGGGCCTGTGCTCTGCCCAGAGTCCAGGGCAGGGCCAGCCACAGCTCACTGCAGGAATGGGGACAGGAAGTGGAAGTCACTTCCTGCCAGGCAACAGCTGGGAAGAGGGAAAACGCGGCCCACTGGGCACAGAAGAGGTGGGGGACAGGTCAGTCGGGCAAGTGTGCTGGGGACAGTGGGCCGAGCATCTGCCTCATGCCCAGCGCTGCCCTCTCTTTTGGAGCAGCATCCTGAGCCCACCTCTGACTAATGCGGGGCACACGCGATCCACTTCGGGGGTGTCCACGCTTCTGGCTCTAGTAAGACCCAGGGCTGTGGACAGACTTGGTCGCTGGGCTTAGTGGTCTCAGGGTCCCCCGTGAGTAAGGCCAGCAGGAGGGGCCTTCTGACACAGGGCCACCCATAATCCCGTCAGCACCCTACGTAGCCCTAGCTTGGCTACAATGCTGCCGTCCTGCCAAAAGCCACAAAGGAGGAAGCTCTGTCCGGGAGACATGCGCTGAGGAACCTGGTGAACCTTTAGGGACAGAGCCACAAAGCGAGATGACTCATTGGACGGAATAGCACTTCTGCCCTCACTCTGTGGCTTTTTCCTTCTGGTCAGATTTGCGTGTGACTGCGAGAGCGTGGGCAGCTATTCTGGGCCATGAGGCGGCGCTGAGTATGGAAGCAAGTGACGCAGCAAGACAGGGCCTTGGTTCCCGACGGGTGCCGCCAGCCTGGACACTGTGGGCTGGGTCACACGCCTGAGAAGCACACTGGGGTTTTGTGGGAGTCTTATTCTGGGCTTTCTCGGATATGGAGCTGTCATCTTGAAGGGCAGGCAGCCAAGTTGGCTCAAATATCCCCCCAGCACGGTAAGAGGCCACTCGGCGTCCTGCAGGAAACTTCGTGGAGAAAGCGTTCTGGATTGGACACACTGGGTCTGCTCGGGGCCACGCAGTGCCAAGTGCTCCAGGAAGCACGGCATGGGTGGCTGTTGGCTCTGCTTAGACGGGGCTCTCTGAGATCTGCTCTCCTGGGGAGCTCTGTGCTCCAGAAATGCTAGGGAGCAGCCATGGAGGCTGAGACAGCAGGCCCAGACTCCTCAGTGTCCCCTTCTCCCCACTCTTCCTGGGTGCTGGGGTTCAGCTGAGGTGGTGCCATCAAAGCTACACAGCCTGGTGCTGGGGATGCAGTGTGTGTTCATAAACTCTGGGCTGCTAGATGGAGCCCGGAAGTCAGGGCTGCATAGTGGAAATCAGGGCCTCCCACCCCACTTCCATCCCATCTGAGCCCAGCCTCGCCCTCTGCTGGGACAGCGTCACTGTCACCTGTCACCAGGCAGATGAACTCGATACAACAGACAGAGGTAGGGAGCGGGGCTGAGTCAGATGGGGTCAGACGGAGCTGGCTGGCAAAGCCCCCGCAGGGAGGATGCTGCGGGGTAAAAAGTTTATAAGAGGAACACCTTCCTCCTTTCCATCTTCTGGCAGAATTTAATGGGTGCAGACTGTTCAGGTCCCAAAGACACGGGAAAAAATAAAAAAGAACAAGAACAAGAAAAAGCCCTTTACTGCTGCTATTGATAACTTGTCTGTTCACGAGGCGGGTTCAAGCCTAAAAATACCCTCCTCCAGCGACAGGGAAGCCGAGTGCTGTCACGTTGCAGGGAGACTTGAAAGTTGGGGGAGGGATCGGCCTGAGCCACGTGAGACAGGGCCAGGCCTCCGTGGCCAGGCTGCTCCTGTCTGCGTCCCTGTACGTGGTTCCGTTTATGCCCAGGAAGGCCTGCGTGCAGAAACCCGCTCCGCGCAGCCCTGGGTGGGAGTGGTGGGCGCCGAGAACCTCAGTCCCTGCCCTCCAGCAGTCAGCCGGGTGGGGCATGGCGTGGAGGCACTGGTGTTCTCGGACGCCAGACTCTGGCTGGTCTGCCAGGGCTGTGCTGGGCGTGGGCCCAGATGAAGAGATAAACCCAGGCCCAAGCCCACAGGCAGGTAAGTGTGCAGTGGGCCGGAGGGCAGGGGGTTGTGGGCAAGTCTGGCACTGCTGCCCTGGTAAGATGCTGGACCCTGGGCAAGTTGCTTCTGCCCTTTGAGCCTCAGTTTCCCCTATGTTCTGCTTCCTTCATGGAGGAGGGCGGGAGGCTTTGTGAGCCAAGTGTGTGTCCCTAGGCGGCCCTGACCACCCACAGGGAAGCTGGTGGCCCAGGGCAGGCCATGGGTCATGGTCCCCACTGACTGGGCACCTGGTTCCCCCAGAGGGGACAGCTTCCCCTCCTGGGTTAAGATAATGAGGAGAGGGTCCTAGAAATGCAGTCAGGGGGTCCTTGCCCTCTGGCCTGAGTGCTCAGGCCTGACTTGGCTTCCAAGGTCCTCTCCAGATCCAGAGGCCCATCCATGTTGCTCCCCAAAATTCACAGGCTGGGACAGGAGGTGCTAACCATCCATGACTGGGCTGGAGGCATCACAGACAGATTTTGCTGTGGGGCTGCTGTTGGGGTTGGCTTGTGCTTGGGAGGGAGCATGCACCCAATCACGGCCCATGAGGCCATCAGGTGCCCCAGAATGACCCACCAGAGCAGCACGATTCAGCCTCGGACAGCATGCACAGCCACAGCTGCTGGACCTCATGGGTAGGAATGCTTGGGCCTTTTGTCCCAGGCAGGGGCGGGCCTGGTCCAGGCAGCTCTGACTCATCCCCATTGCCAGCCTGGGTAATCTGTCTGAGCCTCAGTCTGTCCCTCTGTAAAGTGGGGTGATGGTGCAGAGGTCACTGGCTTAACTGTGGCAGAGGAGTAACGAGCTGAGGTGTGTGCACTCAGGGCACTCAGCGGCCAGAGTCGCCGCCTTCCTCATCCTCATCCTGGCATGGCCCCAAGTCACTCCTGTCTTCTCTCCCATTCCTGCCCCTGTAATTTGGCTCTTGACCTTGCAAAGACTGTCAAAATCACCCCAAGTGCCATTAGGGCACCCCCATAACAAGCTCAGGAGGACTCAGCCTCAGCTGCCCACCACCCAATCCCGACGGCAGGGACCAGGCAGGGGAGGCACTAGCTGATTCCTGGAGTTCAGCAGTGGCATCTGTTTGAAAGGGTAAAACCCTGTCTCTGCCTAGGGCCCATGTGTGATGGGAGCCACCCCCAGGGTGGAGATGGCCATACGCAGCTTGGGTGGTCTCCGAGCAGATGGCAGGGTCACTCTGCCTGAGCCTTTGACCTTGAGCTGATGGTGTGTGTGTGTGTGGGGGTGCCTGAACCCCTCAGAGGCACACTGCAGGGGTCAGAGCTTAGAGAACTGGGTGAGGGGAGTAGAGGAGTGTGGTGGGCATCTAGGACCATGAGCTGGTCCCAGGGCTCCTGGGAAGCGGTCAAGTCTGGTCAGCCTGGTCATCTCCGTAGCAACCATGCTGTCGTCCTTGTCCTGGCTTGGGGGCTGTACGCTGCACCCTTCCCTCTGCTGGCACAGTCGCTCTCTTCAGAGGTAACCATGGTAACGCCTTTGTTTCGGAGGCCAGCTGCCTCCCTCCCATCTCGCTTCTCTTCCAGAGCAGCACAGGGGGCTCCTTCCCAGTCCTGCCACGTCTCCCCAGCCCAGAGGACAGTGGGTACCCCAGCGACCTGGTGCAGGCCCTGGGACAGGGGTGCTGGAGAAGAGGCCTGGGCCCCCGCCACAGAGGCCCCATCCACTCATGAGCAGCCCACTATTTACGAGGGCATCAAGCTGCCTAGGGGCCCACAGAAGCAGCCAAGGTGGCTCCTGCCCTCAAGTCACCTTTGGTCCTGCTAGGGAGACCTGTGTGTTCACAAACACACTTCAGGAAGCGGAGAGACGCATTCTGAGCAGGGGGCCCCGGGCCTAGGCTGGCTCTGTGGAACAGGCACGCTCAGTACAGGAACGTGCTGTGGGCCCAGGAGTCACTGACCAGTGTTCCTGTGGTTTCAGGGGACCCATACCACCCTTTGACTCCACTTCCAATTGGCTTAAGCAGAAGAGAAAACAGTTATTCAGACAACTTTACAGCTGGCTCCAGGTGGCCCCGTGGTGTCTGCTCTTGTTCCTTCCTGTTGCTGGCTTCGTTCTTTTGTTCTGGCTCCTCTGGCAGCTGGACCCTGAGCAGCAGCCCTGGGCTTCTCAGAGCTCTGCAGTGGCCTATGGGGCGAATGAGAGCCATCTGATCCCGGTTCCTCCTGCGGTTTGTTCTCTGCAGCTGCAGTGAAGCCTGGAGCTGAGCCTCCTTGATCAGGACACCGGCTGGTGCTCACCGCAACCAGCTGCTGAGTCTGGTTCATTCTCTCTGTTCATCACAAACCAGACCTCTGGTCAAATGGCATGATGGTAGGGGAACCCACTTTTTCAAAGGGAACTCTAGGTGCTCACAGGTTTAGAGAGGTTAGAGAACCTTTCTGGGGGGCTGGGGATTTAGCTTAGCAGCATAAGCACCTGCCTTGCAAATGGGTGGCCATGAGTTTGATTCCCAGTACCGATAAAAAAAAAAAAAAAAGATAACCTTTCTGAGGTCTGACAGCAGGCAGGAATACAAGCTCCAGATGTGCCACCCGCACTTCTGCCTGCATGGCAGGCACCACAGAAGGGCAATGGAGCTGAAGGCATTTATTTATTTATTTATTTATTTATTTATTTATTTATTTATGTCTTTTTGAGGCAGGGTCTCACTATGCAGTTCAGGATGGCTTTCAGCTCACTGTATAGCCCAGGCTGGTCTCGAACTCACAATGATCATCCTGCCTCAGCTTCCCCAGTACTGGGATTACAGGCGTGCGCCACCACGCCCGGCTCTGAAGGGTTTTAAATGCGAGTGTCAGGGCTGACCCTGCAGGGCTACACTGACGCAGGATTGTGGTAAGCGACGAGTGACACACCAAGGCGGAGCGGAGGGATGATACTGGGCATTTGCCCGTTGCTAGTATCTGGAAGATACTCCCCCCACTGCTTCACACATGCACACACCCGGGGTCAGGCAGCGGAGACACGCGCCTCGCAGCGCGCCGGCCACCTGGCACCTACACCCGGGACCACCTGACTCACTGTTTGTAAACTCGCCTCTCCCTCGGGCACGCCCTTCCCGCCTTCTGGCCCGCCCCTCCCTGGTCATATCTGCATAACCCCACCTCTCTCTGCAGTGATTGGTTATGCGCGCAGTCATTCCCTTGTGTAGGCGGGATTCCGGAGGGGGGCGGAGGGAGAGGTCACCCAGGCGACGTGATCAGCATAGTTCCGCCCACAATGGGGCCTTCGGGCCTGGCGCTGATTGGGTAGAAGGTGGCCGACGTGACAGCGCCACGCTCAACGAATGGCTGCGCCTGCTGTCGATCGGCGAGGCGGCGGGCCGCACTTCCGCCTCGGTGTCAGTGGGTCGCGGGCTGTGAGCTGCGGGCTTTTGGCCTTGGGTCGGGACTCTGCGACCGCAGGGCTCGGCGGTGCAGCGGGCGGGGAGCTCGTCCAGGTGGGTGGGCCGTCCTCAGGCAGAGGGCGATCCCAAGGACCGGGCAGGCGCGGCCGGGTGGGACAGGCCTCACGAGGCCGTAGCGGTCCCGGCCTACGCCGCGGCTGGCACCCAGAGAGAGGGGGAAAGTTAGGGTCGCGGCCTCGGGCCTCGGCCTCCTTCCCGCGCTGGGCTGCGAGGTCCGCACGGGCCTGTCCACCCTGGAGGCCGCCCGCCCGCCGTAGCCAGATGGGCCCCGGGCGCCCAGGCGAGGCCCCATGAGCCGTGGCTGAGGCCTGGAGGCAGGGTCAGCAGTGTGCGCGCGACAGGGTGGACGGCGAACGGATCCGCGCAACCCTGTCCTGCCTTTTCCTCTCGTGTCCTTCTCTGGAGCCACCTTGTGTGACCCCTTCCCCTTTGTTTCTGTCCTTAACTCGTGAATGCTGTCCAGTCGTGCCCACTGCTGGGAACTTTTCATCTGATGCGTCTCTTGGGTAGCCTGAGTTCTAAGGTGACTTCGTTCACCACTGTGACATTGGGACATTGGGAAGAATACATCCTTAGGCCGTGTAAGTTTGTAAGCCCCAGTGAGGACAGCTAACGTGTGTAGAGCAGATAGTTGGTGTTAGGTGGCCTCAGGCTTCTGTCCTGAACGTGGAGATCAAGCCCTGGACTGGGTCCCCGAGTTTCCTGCGGCCACTTTGGCCTGGCTGCAGAAGCAGGCTCCTTACTTGCCGCTCGACACAAACTTCTTGCATGTTGTTCAGCTCACTGGAGCTCTTGAGGGAGCAGCTTGAGAGGAGGGGTGTCTGGGATGCTAACAAGACCCAGATGCCGGAACCAAGGGTTCTTGCTGTTCCTGGCTGCCTGAGCCTTTTCTCCTGTCTCCCACCCTGGCTGGCGTGTGCCATCTGCTTTTGCTGATAAGAGGAGACAGGGATCTGTGTCGGCAGCAGCCTCTGGCACTTAGGGGTCCCGAAGCCTTAGTTCACTTTTTCCTTGCTGGGACCAGGAACCTTGAGGGTGGTGCTTCCTCTTTTGCCTGTCATGGGTGTTGTCATCAAAACACGATGACGAGGAAATGGGTGGCTGCATCTCATAGATTTACCTTCCTTGTTTGCCTCACGTAGCCTTCTGTTAATATTGGCACTTACTTGAGGGGATGATAAAGTGTTTAACACTTACTGTTCCAGATTGTTATAAGAGCCTTATTCATGTGAGTCTTAGAGCAATCTACCAGACAGGCACTTGTGTTATCTTCTGATCATTTATGAGGAAACTGAGAGGTTAAGTAATTTATTTCAGGTTACACAGCAGTGAGTTACGGTTTAGAGATTTAAATCAAAGCAGTATGGCTCTCAAGTTCACATTCTTTTATTTTATTTTGTGACCTCATGCATGATAGGCAAGTACACAGCTGCTAAACAGTGTCCTCAGCCTCAGAGTTGATCCTCTTGTGCCTTTGGTTTATTCGTGGTCCCAGGGATATTGATGAGAAGATTGTCATTTGAAAAGTTTGTGGAAAACATTCTAATTGTGCTGCCTGCTATGG